AATAGGTATATAGGGCTTTGTGTTCTGGTTTTTTTTCAGTAGACAGGGTGGGTTACCCTAAACCCTCAGCCCCCTCCCCTCCCCCCGACCCCCCCTCCCCCAGACCCCCCCCCCCCCCGCCTGGCTTCCCAGACGTTGCTGGTTTGGATCCCCCAAACCGGGAAAATTTTGGACCCCAATATTTACCCCAAACCCTAAACTAAACCCTATAAACCTTAAACCCTAATCCCTAAACCCTAAACCCTAAATTTGAAAGTATAGAGACTTGCGTGCAAGGCTCCGGCGTGCGAAGTGGGGCGTCTGAGCCGTGCATTTCGCGCAGACAGCTGCCAATCCTCGGCTATTCAGCAAGCGGCTGGTGTTCACGAGTCGCATGGGGAGAGGGACGCTCACAGGCTGTTTAGGCGTTTTGGACTTGTGCTCAATGTTCCTATTTCCAAATTTAGTCTTGAGTCTGGTGATGGCTCGAAGCCTACAGATGTCCCCTTCCTGAAAATCAGCGATTTCTTCAGAACTCTGCTGTCGAAGCATGCAAAGTTGCTTTTCGGTGGGTTCGACGCAGGCCAGGAAGCACAGGAGCTGTGTGAAATGTTTTGGACACGATACGAATTGCATCACCCAGAGCATATCATTTTCCAAGAGGTGCCGCAGCAGCAGCGGCGGTTTGTGCTGCCGCTGCTGTGGCACGGCGACAAGGGCCGTGGCCATGGCAAGAACCCAGTCTTCGTCTGCAGTTTCGAGTCCCCATTTGGGCTGCCGCATGGAATCAGAGCCTCAGGGGCGAGACACATGAGGACTCAGACGAAGCAGCAGCACGGTGGCCGGCTCGGCTGGTCATGCGCTAAGAGGGCGCTGGACAGCGGCGACACTGCTGGCGATGAGGACGCTTGCTCAATCAAGCGAAGGAAGCTGGACAATGGCAAGTTCTTTGAAGCGATGCAACACAACTCCCGGGGCCACACCATGCTCACCCGCTTCCTGGTAACGGCCCTCCCGGCCAAGGTCATGAAGGCCTCGCCCGAAGTTTTCACGAAGCTTTATGAAGAAGTTTGCAAGGACCTGCAACATCTTTGGGCATCAGGGGTCGAAGTTGAGAGTGTCAAGTACCGAGCCTGTCTCATCGGCATTAAAGGGGACTATGAATACCTTATGGAGTGCGGAAATTTCAAAAGACATCATGGAAGAGTGGGGTCCGTGCGAGAGAATGCGATGTGCCCATTTTGTATGGCAGGGTCCCCGAACGTGCCATTTGAAAATTTCTCCGAGTCACCAGAATGGCTTGCCACGGAGAACACTGTGGAGCCATGGGAGGAAGAGCCTCCCTGGGTTCGCTGCCCCTACTCCTTGCTGCGGCAGGCAGACATGTTCAAATGCGATGTTTTCCATACTCTAAAATATGGCTTCTGCCGAGACCTAGCAGCGAGCTTGCTGATTTTCCTGGGGTTCCTTGGATACTTCGACCTGGGAGGGGACCTTGCTGAAAGTAGATCAGTAGAAGCTCGGCTGGAGAGGGCGTTCAACATGTTCAGCCTGTTTTGTTTGTCCGAAGGACGAAACACGACATTGAAGCGGTTCTCCAAGCAGAACCTCCACAGGCAAACTTCGGCTTCCTTTCCTTGGCTTGGTGGCAAAGGATCAGATACGGTTCTGGTTATGATGTTTCTGGACTTCTTTGTTGGGCTGTGCCAAGCTGACCCCAAGCAGGCTTCTCACAACCAACTCCTGTGTGGTATGAGGCAGACGCTTCGCGGTGCCCTGGACTTCCTTGGCACGATGCACTCTCACGACATATATCTCCCGACTTCGTGTGCGTCTTTCTTCCTGAAGTCCGGGTACCGGCTCTTGAGGGGCTACTCGTTTTTAGCGCGAAAGGCGCTAGAACACGACCTCAAGCTTTTCGACATTCGTCCCAAACTTCACATGTTCCATCACATACTATGTCGTGTCTCCAGACAGGTGCGGGCAAACCATGCATGGGTATTATCGCCCGCAATTCACAACAATGAAGCCAATGAAGATTTTATAGGGAGAGTTAGCCGCCTTAGCCGTAGGGTTTCCCCGCGTCTAGTTTCTGACCGAGTTTTGCGCCGCTACCTCATTGGGGCGAGGTTGGCCTTTAGACGAGCCGGTGTTTGAAGCTAGGGTTGCATTCAGTGCTTTGCAGTGGTTCGTATGTATAAAGTTTAAGCGTGTGGGCTGTTTTGATTCTCGCGGTACTGTGTTATACCGCCGGCAAGTTTGAGCTGCCAGCTGCAAGGGGTTTCACTCGATCTGCGTGTGCTTGTGCCAGGCAAGTGCCACAATCGTGAAGATTCAGAAAATGCAAACCGAAGCTGCCCAAACTTCATCCTGAATGTACGCACCCCAAAGACCAAAGAACAACTGACCACAGTTCTCCTGCAGCCCCGTGAAGTTGTGGACCACTTGCCGGCAACATGTGCAAGTTTCGGGAGTGCATTGGTTTAGGGTTTAGGGTTTAGGGGTTTAGGGTTTGGGTTTGATTTGGGGTTTAGGGTTTAGGGTTTAGGGGGTTGAGGGTTTTTAGGGTTTAGGGTTTAGGGTTTAGGGTTATATAGTTTAGGGTTTAGGGTTTAGGGTTTAGGGTTTAGGGTTTAGGGCTAGGTTACAAATGACAGATCCCTACTGAAGACCATGCAATTCTTCGAGGCGACAAATCCACCGATTCCAGCTTAAGGGTTTGTAGGGTTTAGGGCCCCTCAAGGTAACCCTATCCTAACCCTACGCAGATCGCTGCCTGCATGGAGCCTGTCCTTGCAAGTCCTGGGGCCTCGATTTTACGTGCGTATTCCCAACTGAACCTGCAGATTAAAAGAGTCCAGTGATCCGCTGCCCCAGGATCAAGGCCATCTCGAGGCCATTGCGTGTTTCGAGAGCAGGGCTTGGTGCATATATTAAGGCGTTGACTCGGAATATCGAGTTACAAACTTTTGTACTCGGGACATACCACTTGAATGTACGAAGCCCTGCGCTTTACATCAACACGAAGAGCCTGAATCACAGGGTTGAAGAAAGCTGTAGATTGAGTGATGTGGGGTTCGAGTGGATTGGGTTGGGCTTTATCCATGGGTTTCGAAGGTCGTCATATACAAGCTGAGAGTTTGGGGTTGGGGTCATTTGGGTTTCGGGTTTTTTGAGGTGTTGAGCCACGAATGTCCGTTAGGGCTTCGGGTTGAGGGCTCAGGGCTTAGGGCCGGCTTAGGGTTTGGGTTGTTGGTTTCAGTTCTGCCGCTGTGCTTCTAGAAGCTCAAAAACCCAGCCCGAAACTCCTCAACCCTTTTCTGCATCAGGAAATCCAGTATATACGTGAGCCTAAACCCCAGACACGAAACCCTTATAAGAGTACACACTTGCTGCAACCAGTTCCGGGGTCAGGGCCCCAAACTTGGCATATGTAAGACACAGAAACCAGCCGAACCAACATGGCCAAATGCAAGTTTTCAAAATCAAAGATGCCTTTTTTGTTTTTTGGGATTGCGTTTTTCCCATGAACCCACCTCGCAACATGTCAATTTTTGCCTGGCAACCCCGAACCCCCTAAAAATGCAACATTCCAGTTTCCCGGCGAGATGGCGGAAATCTTGCAATTTCTGCCTCATTGCTTTTTTTTGAGACAGAGGGCTTGCTAGGGATGGCCTCATCGAGCGTGGCCAACGACATTTGGGGCGCAGCAGCGCGCAACTGGGCCCGGCTCACCACAACCTCGTGCCAGTCGCGCAAGTTCGCGGACCAGGTCTCGCGACGCATTTGGTCCCAGTACACCTGCGCGAGATGTCCGTGTAGATGCAGGCAACTTGCAACTTGCCCAGTTGCGTCACTCTCGCTGTTCCCGCACAGGAGCCGAACCCGCGGAAGTGCACTGTCCCGGACGTCGCCGGCCACGAGATCGGACACATCCGGACATGGACTGGCAGCCAAAACGTGCGCGTACACCTCTTGAGTCCCCACCTGCAGGAAGTTCACGTCATGCACGTGCACGGAGCACAAGAGCTTTACCTCCTTCGCCCCCTCAACGGCCGGCGTCAAGTGGAACAGCACGAGCTCGCTCTTCGCCAGCAGCCGCTGACACACTGTCGGCCCCCATTCATGCAGAGCTCGTTCTTCGTCTTGGCGCTGCCTGAGGTCAGCAAGCATAGTTGCATCGCGGCAGTGACAATTTAGGGCCCGCACTTCTTCCAGGGCTGCTGCTGCTGCTGCTGCTGCTGCTGCTGCTGTATCCTAGATGTGATCCATTGTCGACAACAGGAACCCAGTACTCAGTAATGTGGACTACAGCTCTGAAGACTGACCCGCCCTAAAGCTGGCTCGCTTGAAGGGCGGCAAACATCCCAAGACTTCTTCGAAAAATAGGGTCATCATGAGGTCAAAGAACCTCGCCTGAGACACGGGGTCGGCAGCTAGAATCCGACGCATGGCGGTCACGCACGGCAGAATAGGCTGCTCCAGATCCCAACCCAAAGAAACCTCGTAGTTCTCCACCTGCCCATCCACGCCCTGCGTGTGCAGCTGCAGAAGCAGGGCAGCGCGAGAATCTGCGAGGTTGGGCGTCATGAAGACGTGCGCGTTGCCGTAGTGCCAGCCAGCCGCATGGCCTCGAAGTCGAATTTGACTGCGATGTCCTTCTGTGCCGAGGACACTGGCGCTGGCCTGCAGCACGCCGCCTAACGCGCGCTTCAGCGACACATCCACATCCGGTGAGCGCAACAACTCACGTATGTCGGCCTTCTCGCCGTGCAACGCCATAGCCTTCAGCAGCTGCTCCGTGCTGACCGAGGCGATCATGGCGCAGTGCCGACTGAAGCCGCTCCGTTTGACGTATGCTTTCGATGTGCGCATGAGAGAAAGTCGGCGGTTGGTGTCGTACATGACAGGCAAGAGCTGTTCCTGGCACGCAACTGTCGCTATACAGATATAGCAAATTAAGACAGCGTCCAAAAGCGATTCAATATACTATCAAGGACAAAGTTCGACCTAACCAAATCTTAATACGACCGGGATGCGGACAGACTCCAACGAGGAAGAAGGGGCGTCTCGGCGCTATCTCCATACGCCAGCTCCTCACGAAGTAGCAAGTACCGAAAGACTTCGCCTGCCTCCATGCCAGTCTCGCGCTTGACGAAAGGCACGCCGTCTCCCCAGGGGAAAAGATCCGGGAATGCCATGGCCCAGGTAGCCGGCTGAAACATGTTCATGGGCTCGTCGCGAGAGGGCACCACAAGTTTCTGAGGTCGCACTTCGAACATTTGGCCCTGAGCCTGGCGCTCGTGCTCCACACTGTTAGCTAGCGACTGCACCCTTCGCACGCGGCTCAGCACGCGCTGCTCCTGAGCTCCCTCGCGGCCCAACAAGCCCCCGGCATCTGCCTGCTCAGGACCCAAGTCGTTTTGAGCCCGATTGCGAAGAACCGATTCAGCCTCGGTATAGTCTTGCCGCGGCTTGCGACGGCACAATTCTTCCACATCGCGGCAGACTCGAAGCCAGCGGTTGCCCTGGTCTGAGTCATCGTTGAGGCCAACGATACTAGACACGAGATGACCTGACTCCAGCGCAGCAGGTGGATTTCGCAAGACAGCGTCCTCCGAGCTGCTACCGGCTGGCGCGGCAGGCTGCTCCTCGCGCTCGTCTTCCTCAGCTTGCCCTTGCGCGTCAGCTGGCCCCTTTTGCAAGAGTTCACGGGCCAAGTAGCTGTCAACGGCAGTCTCCAAAACACAGCCTTCCAGCACGCTGTCCTGGAGTCTGCCCGGGTCCAGAGCAACCGAACGGTAGTAAGGCGAGGTCGTCCGAAGTTTCTCCACGGCTGCAACGTACTCGTCTCTGGGAGCTTGCAAGACATTGCTGGACTTCAGTTCCTGTTTCTTCTGGCCGACAAGAACGAACAAGATGTTCTCGGCCATGTCCTGGTCTTTGGGGGGCAGAGTCGCCTGAATAGCTCCAGGGCCGGCCTGTGGAAGGAAAATCGTGTTGCCGATGTATCCCCTCTGCCTCTCATCGCGCGGTAGCGACAGCGGCTGCAAAACCGTCACCTGCATGCAGACCCGCACGAGAGGGAGTAACCGCTTTGTTCCAGGCGACAGGTTGCTCAGCTCGGGCAGAGAGCGTCCGATCCAGAGATCGTTAGCCAGCGCGTGCCTTGGAAGCATGAGAACGGAGCATTTCAAACTGCTGCGACACTCTCGGCAAACCGTACAAGGGTCCGAGGGTGATGCTGGCATGCGCCGTCGATGCAGCAACAGATACTGTCCCTCCATGTACGGGTGCTGGACAGCGGATGCCTGAAGTTCGGAAAGAGGTATCTGTGGCCAGCGCTCGGCGTACCGATCGATGCCCAGCAATCGGCACAGACGAGCCTGCTGACTCGGCAATACTGTCTCGGCGCCGGAGGGCACCTCGATTGAAGACATGTCTGCGTCCGGTGGCTGAAACAGGACCATGGGGTACAGCTCGTTAACCCAGAAGTGACGGGCGCAAACCACACAACCCCCTTCCGCTCGGCCAGCGTGCATTCCAGGAGGGCAGCGCAGCTGTTCGTCGAAGTTGGCTGCGATTGTACGCTGGCGGCTCATCTCAGGCACCTGACTCGTTCAAGCACGACAAAGCGTCAGACACGTACACTTGACATGACAGGCAAAAGACACGTAGAAGGCTATTGCATGTGCCAAGGGGCCACAGGACCTCTGTGCGCTACCATTGCCAGGATTTTCTTGCGGTACTCCACGAAAGCTCGCTCTACATCCAGAGAACGCACGCAATGACTGCTCACAATGTGCTCCTTAAGGTCTGTGAGGTTCTGGCAGTTGAAGTCACACAAGCGGCAGCAGTACCTTTCAGAAAGTACTGAAGGGTCGTCCGAGAAAGAGCGCAGCAGGTGGCCGGACACAGCTTCATTCACGGCGGGCAAGGTCGGAGAGCAATCCAGCAGCGCAGCGACACGCTCCAGCTTCCGCGTCAGAGACTTCTGCGGGTCCTGCAGCAGCCTCAGCGCTCCCATGACGACTTGGTTCGCGTCTCCAACCAGATCCTCCAAGGGGACATAACATTGCTTGCGGCACCCGCCCTCGCTCCAGCCAGGAACGGCAAACAGGAGCGCCCTCTCCGCAGCAGAACGCCAAAGAATGCCGGCTTGCGCGTCCGGGCCATTTGCTAAGCAATCCAGTGCCAACGTCGACAACGGCGCAAAGTCCGGAGGGAAAGCCTTTGTCATGGCCTTGACTCTTGCGGCGGCGCCCCCAGTGTAATATTTTTCCGCGCGCTTGGCCAAGACAGGGTTCTCCTCTACCGAAGGGATACGAGAACACCCTTCCACAACCTGCCAAGAGACGAGGTCGTCCCGCAAAGAGAGCACTGCGAGGTCTATACTTTCCTCGCGAGACCTTTCCTCCGACACTGCGTTGGGGCTGTGCAGCTCGCGCACGCCAAGGCCGGCCAGCGGGTGCAGGAGCTCCGTGGCCAAGAACCAAGCAAACTGCGACCAGTCCTCGGGCTTTCGCACGTGGGCGAACGTCTGGGGCCAGCGGCATGGCTCGCCGGGCTGCGTCCGTCGCTCCCAACCGCAGCGACGCATCAGGGCGCGCAGCACGGTGGTGTCGCCCTGGTCGAACTTACGGGTCTGATACTTGTGCTGGATGACGCTCAGGACTGCCTCGCAAAACAAGCTAAGAAGCAACAGAGGGCGAGGCATCATGTCGCAGTTCTAAGACGCCCCCCCACCTGGCCTCCATAACATCCTTGCGGTCCTCGTACCCGTCCGTGCTCTGTACTTGCGGCTCCGCCTCCAGGTTGGCCAGCAACCAAAAACGACGAGCGACATCCACGGGGTCCGTTCGCTCAGAGCAGTCAGCTAAACGCCACCAACCTCGGCACGCTACACACATATTCACAGCACAAACGGCGGCAAAGCAAGAAAAGTGAGAAAAAGAGTAATTCTGACGCTCACCTGCTCGCTGATCTGCACGATCTTCAAGCACAGCGGCCAGAAGACATTGCTGCAAAGGCGCAGAAAGAGATGGCACTCTCACTCCTCTCAAGCTACAGCAGCTTCCCACGCAGTGCTCACTTCCGGGGCCAACGCAACATCTACCTCTGGCCAATGCGGCAGAGCCTGCAAAAGCAGCTCCGCAAGTAGCTGCTGCTCTGCAGCGGAAGAAAGATGCCTGTCGCAAAAGACTGTGGCAGTAATGTCCAGCGAGTAAGCAGCGGCAGGTCTGCGCAAGTTCACATCCTCGAAGATGTCAGGGGCAGCAAGGACCACCGCTGCAACAGTGTCTGCTCCAGCTTCGTGAGCTGCTCGGAGGGATCTCCAGACGTGGTATTTGATGTCCGCACTTGCGCTCGGAGCAGCGGCAGGACACAATGCCAGGACGATTCGCTCAGTCAAATTGCTCCTGCTCACACTCTGGAAGGCGACTCCCAACTCCGCCGCCAGTTGCTGTAAGCTGGGCCCGTCGCCTCGGAAGCGCCATTTACGAAGCCTGGCCCGAAGAGACCGAGCCGCGCTTTCGCCGAGCTCTGCTACCCAGCTCCTCAAGCCATCTGCGCTGACATCGTCCTCGACGTCTGCCTGCCCGAACGTAGAAACGTCGAGGCCAAAAAAAGCAAGCAAGATTAAAACGTCAGGTGGCGGGCAGTAAAGGGGGGTGAGAAGAGCCTGAAACTGCCCTAGTCAAGAGACACTGCGCAGGACAAAAGCGAAGCTTTCCCCATGACGCCTCCTGCTCGGATATGCACTGCAACAGAGCGTCTAGAAGCTCCTGTTTGTTTCGCATGCCGGTGCCAGAGCCCTGCTGCACACCCGCAGCCCCAGCCAGCGCCCGCAACTGCTTGACGGTCTTCTTCGCGAGCTCCCCGCGCAGCCAAGCCACGCCGTCAGCAGCAAAACCTTCTCGCAGGCGCTGCAGCTCTTGCTGCAGCGCAGCGCCAGCTTCATCCTGTTCAAAGGTCGACAAGAAAAGCCTGAAACTGCCCTAGTCAAGAGACACTGCGCATGCGCCGCTTGAACGTAAAGCCCAAAAAAAAGCAAGCTCCAAGCCAGAAACAACCTTGACCCCAACCTGCGTAGGAATGCAAACAATATGACACACAAACCTTAGAGAAGGAGGAAACCAAGAATACAAAGCACAAAAATGACGCTTTCCCCAAGACGCCTCCTGCTCGGAAATGCACTGCGAGAGAGCGTCGAGAAGCTCCTCTCTGTTCCGCATGCGCGCACCAGCGCGCAGGTGCACACCCGCAGCCCCAGCAAGCGCCCGCAACTGCTTCACGGTCTGCTTCGCTAACTCCTCGCGCAGCCAAGCCACGCCATGAGCGGCAAAACCTTCGCGCAGACCGTGCAGCTCTTGCTGCGGCGCAGCGCCAGCTTCATCCTGATCACAGGTCGAGAAGAAAAGCCTGAAACTGCCCTAGTCAAGAGACACTGCGCACGCGCCGCTTGAACTTAGAGCCCAAAAATAAGCAAGCTCCAAGCCACAAACAACATGACCCCAACCTGCGTAGGAATGCAAACCATGTGACGCACAAACCTTAGAGAAGAAGGAAACCAAGAATACAAAGCACGAAAATGACGCTTTCCCCAAGACGCCTCCTGCTCGGAGATGCACTGCGAGAGAGCATCAAGAAGCTCCTCTCTGTTTCGCGTGCTCGCGCCAGAGCCCTGTCGTGTGCCCGCAGCGCCAGCAAGCTCACGCAGCTGCGTGACCGTCTTTTTCGCAAGCTCCTGGCGCAGCCAACCTGCACCTTTAGCACGGAAACCGCGCCGCAGCGTCTGCATAGCATCCCCGCCGGTGTACGACATGCCTGGACCTACAAAAACCCGCACGGTCCAAGCTGGCGCCAAGGTTTCACTCAATAGCGCCTCTCGGGCCAAAGCTAGCACGCACGCATGTAGAGCAACGCATCATGAGGTAACAGACATACAGCACACGAACGCTAGCACCGACACACAGTGCGGGATGCCTTCTCCCCTTCATTGACGTCGGCGCGCCCCAGGACGTCCAAATCGGACATCGCCCAAACATGTTACATTTGAGAGCAACCGCTGATCACTTCCCACAGAGAGACGAGTCTGAGCGCAGGACTGGTTGCCTTCCCTCCAAATCGAGATCACTTTTTTCCCGCTCCACTGCATGGCTGATATTTGTCATGGTTTTGGAAACAGCGAATTCGGGGACCATGGTTTTCGCGATGGTTTTGGAAACAGCTAATTCGAGTACCATGGTTTTCGCGATGGTTTTGGACACAGCGAATTCGGGGACCATGGTGTTTGCGATGGTTTTGGAAACAGCAACTTCGGGAACCATGGTTTTCGCAATGGTTTTGGAAGCGAATTCGAACACACCGTCCCCAAGTTGTTTGCGAGGATTTCGAAGCTCCACAATTCCGCGCCCACGCTATTTGCGAGGATTTCGAAGCCCCACAGGATTTCGAAGCCCCAGAATTCCGCGCCCACGTTATTTGCCAGGATTTCGAAGCCCCACAGTTCCGCGCCCACGTTATTTGCGAGGGTTTCGAAGCCCCACAGTTCCGCGCCCACGTTATTTGCGAGGGTTTCGAAGCCCCAGAATTCCGCGCCCACGTTATTTGCTAGGTTTTCAAAGCCCCAGAATTCCGCGCCCATGTTATTTGCGGTGTTTTCATGCGCCCAGATGTCCGTTACCATGCTCTTTGTGGTGTTTTCATGCGCCCAGATGTCCGTTACCATGCTATTTGGTTTTGGAAACAGCAACTTCGGGGACCATGGTTTTCGCAATGGTTTTGGAAGCGAATTCGAACACACCGTCCCCAAGTTGTTTGCGAGGAGTTCGGAGCTCCACAATTCCGCGCCCACGTTATTTGCGAGGATTTCGAAGCCCCACAGTTCCGCGCCCACGTTATTTGCGAGGGTTTCGAAGCCCCAGAATTCCGCGCCCGCGTCATTTGCGAGGATTTCGAAGGCCCACAGTTCCGCGCCCACGTTATTTGCGAGGGTTTCGAAGCCCCAGAATTCCGCGCCCACGTTATTTGCTAGGTTTTCAAAGCCCCAGAATTCCGCGCCCACGTTATTTGCTAGGTTTTCAAAGCCCCAGAATTCCGCGCCCATGTTATTTGCGGTGTTTTCACGCGCCCAGATGTCCGTTACCATGCTCTTTGCGGTGTTTTCATGCGCCCAGATGTCCGTTACCATGCTATCATTTGCGGTGTTTTCAGACGCCCAGGGTGTCCGCGGCGTACTACGTCTGGAGCAAGCTCCGCGTGTCCGTGGCGTACTACATTTGTACTACAAAAGTCGACTTTCCAGCCACGGAAGCTCCGGGTGTCCGCGGCGTACTACGTTTGTACTACAAAAGTCGACTTTCCAGCCACGGAAGCTCCGGGCGTCCCCGGCGTACTACATTTGTACTACAAAAGTCGACTTTCCAGCCACAGAAGCTCCGGGCGTCCCCGGCGTACTACATTTGTACTACAAAAGTCGACTTTCCTGCCACGGAAGCTCCGGGTGTCCGGGGCGTACTACGTCTGTACTACAAAAGTCGACTTTGCAGCCACAGAAGCTCCGGGTGTCCGTGGCGTACTACATCTGTACTACAAAAGT